TCAGCAGGAGACCATGCTCCTCATGTTGGTGTGAAAGAGAATTTTGAGGCTTCAGCTGGAGCTTTAGTGCCATAGCAGTAAAACCATGACCCTTTCAGATGTTTGCTGAGTTTTCATGGTGGAATGAGTCTGCTAACTGTTGACCTCCTGTTGAAGTTCCCAGCCACTTGCCTGAGTTTGTGGGGAAATTCATCCAGGTCTAGATAGTGAAAACTGGCAGCAGATGCTAGAAGCTGGTGTTGAAGGTCTGGCCCCTTCTAAATGTCAAGATCTGAATTCTTGGTGGTATATGATGTCCTGAGCTGTCCTTGGCCTTATCTGTGGTGTCTTGTGCTCTCCTGACAGCCAATGGAAAAAGTCAGTGCCAGAGACTCCAAGGCCAAGTGCTCTGTGTGCTGAGCTACCCCCAGTGGGCAGGGAGGAAAGAGTGAAACAAGCTGGTTTTAAATAATTCTCTGTAATAACTGTTAGGCTGATGGTGTGTGCAGGTCTGGGTGGAGAAGCTGCTGCAGAGGACATCAGGAGCAGGTGGTGCTGTCCCTTGACCCATCTCAGCTGAGTGCTGGCAGTGCTGGAGTTGTGGGGACTCTGCCTGTCTTGAAGCAGGAGGCTGCAGCTTGTGCCTGGCTGTGTTTGTGTGGCTTGTCAAGGTCTGATTTGGGATGTGTGGACCTCTGAGAGGAGCAGGGGGATCCCAGGAAGAGCAGTTAAGCAGTGGAGGATCCTTGGTGAGCAGGGGTGTGTGCTGGGGGGTGCAGCCTGGTGGCTGAGCCCTGGGGGTGGCCACGCTGGTTTTGTGACCACCAAGGGGCCTATTCCCATTCCTCATTTAGAAGTGTTCTTGAGCTCTGAGCTCTTCTTGCTCTGTGAGGTGGGCCTGGCTGGGGTGCCAGTGAGGGGCTGAGCCCTCCTCTGCAAGGGGCCTGTTCTCTGCTGGTCTCTTGTCGGGGTGTTTGCTGAGAGCTGCTGCAGCCGGCCTGTGGAGTGACCACCCAGCAGTGAGGGGCTTGCCTTCTGCCCTGGCCAGCTGCCCCCTGGGGTGTTGAGTGGGGTTCTGCCAACTGGGAGATGGGCTCCTGGGGGGGGTCATGCTAGCACCCCTAGCTCCTCTGTGGAGGTGAGGTGGGTGCCTGGCTCTTACCTGCTAGGTCAGGATAGTGTTTCCCCAGGTTGTCTAGCAAGGATTCATAGCAGGTGGCTTCAGGGCTTTCTCCTTCTGCCAGCAGAATGGGAGAGAGGGATCAGTCTCTATCCTAACTGAAAACTGAAGGCACGACTTGTGACCAGGGCAGGTAGATGGCTCTGCCCAGGCAAGGTTCCTCCTCCCCCAGGTTCAGCTACAGCTCTTTGTAACTACTGAATAAAGCCCCTTGCCCAAGCTGCATCTTTGTTTTTAGGAGGTGATGGGATTTTCCTGATGTGTGGGACAGTAACTTGAAATGGTGTGTGACAGCCCCCCAGGCAGACCCTTCTGGTACAGGCTGAGCTGTGCTGCCCTGCTGAGGAGCTTACGCAGGACTCTGAGCAGGATGTAGCTCTCCCTCTCCCGTAGGTATTTACTGCTGAATTCAGATGCAGGATTTTCCACTTTGCTCAGGTTCACCAGGGCTCCTCTTTCATCCAGAATCTTTATGCAGTCTGGAGAGAGAGAGAGAGAGAGAGATTTGGTGAAGATCTGATGTGCCTCTGTGCAGCCAGCATGAGCCTGTGGGGTTCAGCGGTGTCTTCCTTGGCAGGTTACACTTTGAAGAAGGGAACCTGAGATCTAGAAGGGAGGAGGTTTGCTGACCCTTTCCCTGTGTTTTGGGATGGTCTGGGATCCCCACACAACCTGTTAGAGAAGTCCTCTGGTGATGGCTGCTCAGGAGCACTCATACCTGCTGGCCTGCACTGACACTTCATCTTCAGGTGAGCCATGAGGATGAGGACACGGCACTGGAGGTTCACCAGCTCTTGGCGATTGTCTGCAGGCAGGGAAGGAGATAAAAGTGTGGTCACCCTGGATCCAGGAGCCCTGTGGATGTGACAGGAGGCACAGCAAAGGGCTGAGAACTGCCTGCTGTCACAGCCAGCAAAGGTAGGATCCCTGTGTTGCCACCAGCAGCAGGGCTTTGAGCTGCTGTAGTACAGCCATGTTTGCTGGTGTTTGGTACTGGGAATGCTGCAGGTTAGGAGTAGGAATGGACACTTTGGCTTGGGAAAAATGGCTCTCATTTGTGAAGTCTCTGTCCTTCAACTTTATTTCACCAACTGTGACTAGGAAAAAGCAGGGAGGCCTGGCCTTTGCTGGTCCCCTTCCACAAACTTGTCCTGGTCACAAGGAGGAGGAGCAGCTGGAGATGGTGGCTGAGTCACCAGGGACACTTTGGCCATGAACTCTCACTGAGTTTGTCATGATGGAGAAATCCCCTGGGGATCCAATTCAAATAGCAGAGGGAGCAAAGGCCTGGGACCACGTGCCTGGCACTGACAACTCAGCCAACTGTGGGCAAGGCCAGGACAGGGTCTGCTTGTTCCCTCTTGCTCAACATGGGCATCTGCTCTCTGATCCCGAGGGCTGGGATTTCATCCAGGGGAGGTCTTCTCACACAGCTGGGAGCAGAGGAGCTCTGCTGGTGGCTGTCACCTGTGCCCCATGGCTCTTCTGCTTGTGTTGAGACAAGCAGAGGCCCCTCCAGTGATTCCCCAGAGCTCAAGGCTGGGAACCCACCCTTGCCTCTGTCCTGCCCCCCTGCTAACAGCTCAGCCCTGCAGGGCTGTATTTCCTCTGGTTCACTGTGTAGGGGTTGAAAATACCCTTTTTTTTTTACCAGATGAGGCAGAGGGTGCTGATGTGCCCTGGCAGAGCTCCTGCCCCGTTCCCTCGCCACAGGGCACTGCTGTGCACCGAGGTGCCACGTCCCTCCCTGTCCCCGTGGGGCCACCGGCTGCTGATGACGATGGTCCAGC